CACTGAAAAACATTATTATTTACTACAGTATATATTTATGGAGGCGATCTAGGGCCATATATACTTGCAAAACAGAAGAAAGCTTTGCATACAATAAATAAATTATTGAGCAAAAAAATAGATAAATAAATGCAAATCTCCAAAAATCGCAAAGCAAATAAGCTTTTGGAGAAATAAAGATGAAATTTACAAACTGCAAATAAAAACCAAACAGTGAAAAAAAGCTCAAATATGTGCAATAAAAACCAATTTATTGCACTGCTCATATTGATTTGCTTTTTTTCTGATTTATTTTTGGCCTTTATTAGATTGGACAGTATTGAGACAGGGAGCAAAGTTGGAGAGAGAGAGGGGGTGGGGTAGGGAAATGTCCTCGAGCCGGGATTCAAACTCAGGACGCCCTGACGTGCTATTGCACCATATGTCGGCCAGTTACCCACTAGGCTATTACCCTGACTTGATTGTCTTTTCAGGCAGCAGTGAGTTTGCGATGCTGTTTTCCCTCTGCACTTCACATTTCTGCGTGCTTCACTTTGTGGCCCTGAGTTGATAAGGGGGCGGAGTCAAATCAAAGTGAAGCAAGCAGAAATGTGAAGTGCAGAGGGAAAACTCACTGTTGCCTGAAATGCAAATCAAAATGAGGCAATGCTATAAAAATGTTTTGCAAATATATATTTAGGTTTTTTTAACTGCAAATGTTTTAGTTGTTTGCACTGCTTGGTATTTATTCGCAGTTCTTTTTTTGTTTGCAAATTTCATTTTTAATTCTCAGAACTTAATTTTCCGTTTGCAATTCTTTATTTTTGTTAGCAGTTTTATTTTCTTCTCAAGTGAATTTTCGCTTTGCGATTTTGTTTATTTATTTATTTTTTGGAGATTTGCATTTATTCATTTATTTATTTTTGCTCCGTTTTTTGTTTGCAAAACGTACTTTTATTTTGCAACTATATATGGCCCTAGATTGACTCCATATACAGTTATCAGAATTATCCCCCCCCCCCCCCCCCTGTTTATTTTCCCAATTTCAGTTTAACGGAGAGTAGATTTCTTCAACACATTTCTAATCAGAATAGCTTTAATAACTCATTTCTAATAACTGATTTCTTTTCTCTTTGCCATAAATAAATAATATTAGTAAATAATATTAGACTAGATATTCTTCAAGACACTAGTATTCAGCTTAAAGTGACGTTTAAAGGCATCACTAAGTAGGCAGGTTATTGTTTAACGATGGTTTGTTCTGTAAACAGTCGGAAAATAAATTACCGTAAAGGGGCTAATAATATTGACCTTAAAATATTTTTTTTAAAATGTGGAACTGCTTTTATTCTAGTCAAAATAAAACCAATAAGACTTTCTCCAGAAGAAAAAATATTATCAGACATACTGTGAACATTTCCTTGCTCTGTTCAACATCATTTGGGAAATATAAAAAAAGAGAAAAATAAAATAAAAGGGGGCGAATAATTCTGACTTCAGCTGTACCTTCACTTTCTAAAACAGATTGTTTAATTTGTAGCAATAATAATAATAATAATAATAATAATAATAATAATAACTGCATTTATAACCAAAGAAATGCTCAAATTGGCCAGCCTGACACAGCTGAGCAGTGATTTTATTTATATTTGAATATATTTTATAAGTGTTTGGAATAAATCTGTGTGTGATGTTTATTATCTTGCCATGTTTGTGTGGCTGGAAAAGTGTTTTCATTAATATAACAATACTCAGCTAAATATTGGCTCTTATTTACATAAAATAATATTTACATATCATCAGAATAATCATCAGACTATTGTTGTTATATTCATAGAAATCTGCGATTGATGTTTCATTCATTCATTTTCTTTTCAGCGTAGTCCCTTTATTATTCAGAGGTCTCCACAGCGGAATGAACCGCCAACTATTCCTGCATATGTTTTACATGGTGGATGCCCTTCCAGCTGCTACCCAGTACTGGGAAACAGCCATACACACTCATTCACACACACACTCGTACACTACGGCCAGTTTAGTTGATCAATTCCCCTATAGCACAAGTGTTTAGACTGTGGGGGAAACCCACGCCAACATGGGGAGAACATGCAAACTCCACACAGAAACACCAACTGACCCAGCCGAGGCTCAAACCAGCAACCTTCTTGCTGAGCTAACCACAAAGAAACCATGCCACCCCAAAAACTTTCATATAAAGGACTAAAATATATGAGAAAAATAAATAAATATATGAGGAAATTATTAAAACAGCTGAGCAGTAGGATGGGTTTGGGTGGGGCTATTCGTTTGATTGGCCAATGGCATGGTTTTGGGGGCGGGGTTGTCATTTTGACTGACAGATGTTGTGAGTTTGGGGCAGGAGCTATTACTTTTATATACTTTTTTGTGTTTAACTTGTGTGTGTGTGTGTGTGTGTGTGTGTGTGTGTGTGTGTGTGTGTGTATGAAGAGTTCAGAAGCAAAAACCTCTAAATGCCACCTGAAATGTTATTCTAAAATGA